CAATTCCCCTGACTCCAAAAGGCAGTTCAACGAGCTGTGCCTGGACTGTAGGAGGATTTCTGGCAGAGGAACTTGGGAAGCTGGTTCCCAGTCACCAAAGGGAGTCATTTCCCTTACCTCTGGCAGAGGAACATAGGCCTCTGGTGCCAATTGGCATATCAAAGCTCCTGCTGGCCTCCAGGCTCCCTCAGTATCACAAGTACCTTTTACACATTTCAAACTCCATGCCCTCCCTACTCATGTCCTACTCTATGAAGCCTCCTCCAGCTCACAGGCTTCCCTCCCTGCAGCTACTCATTCTCCTTATAGCTCTGCTGTTTCTCACTTCGTGAGCGCTCTGTCTCTCTCTGCCTCAACTCCTGCTTCTTCTGTTTTTTTCTATTCTCTCTCCCCTGCTATTCTCATTCTCCCCTCTCTCAGATAGCCCTGACCAGGTCGTCTGTTGGTCGTGTTCAATCTCTGCTCTGGACTCCCAGATGCCTCTAGCTGTTCTTTCTCTCGTATCTACAATCAAAGCCTCCTTCCCTTTAACTATCCCATAGAGTGGTCGTGTCACCAGCTTATACACCCACAAGCCAGTAGAGATGGTTGATGGTGAGTCTTGTCTCGTGTGTGCACGCAAAGATGGTGCTGAGGCTCAAACACTGGGCCTTGTGCAGACTCGCTGGGCAGCCAGAGTACAGAGCTGGCTGAAGTGAGGAGGCTACAGGGTAACCGGAGAAGGGTTCTATGGTATATGCAGGACCCAAGAGTGGTCCTTCTGTATTTGTGGGACAGCCAGTGTAGCTGGAATGAATGGACCAGCAATAGCAGTGATGTCAGAACTCACTGGCAGATCACGTAAGGGCGTGAAGGCCAGGAAGTTTTGAATTCGAAGTTTGAGGGACATGGTCTTGGAGTTAGGGTGGTCTGATGGTGATCTGCCCTTGATTATCAACAGTCTGGTAAAAAGAAAACATGGAAAGCCAAGTCTCAAAGAAAGATGGCCATGCCAGGGTGCACGGCAGCATCACATACAGTAACAGAGGCTGAGGCCAGGCACAGGTTGGCCAGTGGGTGAAAGATGCAGCAGAATGTGGCTTATCCAAATGGTGGGCTATTTGTCAGCCCTTTAAAGAAGCAGAGAGCTGAGGATGTGGCTTGTTACAGTGTCTGCCTAGAGAGACCCTGCTTTTGATCTCTAGCAATCAACTGGATAGGGGAGTGTGTGTCATTCAGTGCAGCACTTAGAATTAAAGACAGGAAGAACAGGTGTTCAGGGTTATCTTCAATTCACAGCTACCTGGGCTCCAGGAAACACAGTCTCAAAAAGAGGGCTGTGGTGTCAGAGCTGGGCTGTGTTGGTGCACAAGTAAGGTACGACCTGGTACTTTGCAGACCAAAGCAGAATCATCTCTTGAGCACACAATCAGAGGCCGCCCTAGCCAAGGCAGTAAGACCCCTGTCTCACAAACTAACCATCAAACTATAGAATCCCTGGTGACTTGGGATGAGCATATCAGCTTTTTGGGAAACTGAGGCAGGAATATTTGAATATAAGACTAGCCAACCACTTAGTGAAACAATGTCTCCAACAGAAAAGTAAAATGAGGCTGGGCCCAGAGGACTGGCTCAACAGTTACAGTAGGTGCTGCTCTCTCGGAGGACCTGGATTCAGTTCCTGGCAGCCACATGGTCTACAACTGTCTGTAAGTTCAACTCCAGGGAGGTCCAGCGCCCTCTTCTGATCTCTGTGGGTACCAGCACACATACTGTATACTCAAATACATGTAGACAAAACACTCATACACATAAAAAAAAATAACTAAATTTTAAAAATTAGGCGCCAAATTGTAGAGTCCCAGCCTCTGCAGTCTTGAGTATCACCAGGGGTCGGGGACCAGAACTTAGCAGAACCCAGAGCCTTTTGCTGCTCATCCAAACCCTGGTTTGTAGTGATAATTTTGGAATTTTTGGTTTCTTTAACAACACAGAAATATAAGAATGTTTTTGTTTTAATCCCAGGTATGAGGTCATGCCGCTGCTTCGCAGGAGCTCACAACGAAATACCTCGTGCTCTAGCAGAAGCCTGGTTTTGCCAGCTGCAGATGCTTTCTGCGACTGTGTGATGTTTGGAATTCTGGGGACTTTTCAGACAGTACATAAACTAGGACCCTGAGAGGTGTGGTGGGTGTTGGTTGCTGCTGGTTGCCCTTAGCAGCGGTTTGTTAAGCAGTTGTAATCCAAAAAGAAACAAGAAACTAGGCATCCCGACACTGAAGATCAAATTTGCCCTAAGGAGCTTGATGTCCCTAATTAGCAGGAGGTATTCTAATGGTAACGCTGACCTCTAACTTTACTCCGAGATCTCTTTCCTTTCCTCTCTATGCTTTTTGTCTCTGTATTTATCTAGTGTTAGAGGGTTGAAAGGGTTGAAAGAACCCACTAAGTAGCAAAACCCCAGCTACGTTGGTTGGTGGACTAAAGTTCTGAGAAAAGCTGCGCTGTTTCTGACTAGTTCCCAAATCCACTACACTAAATCTGACCTGACCTGGAGCTGAGGCCACAGGACCCTCAAAACACTGCTTTCCAGTCACCAAAGCAGTCACCAATAGCTCTTCAGGAGAGCTATTCTGAGCCTATCAGCCTATGTGCCACAGGCCTTGACTTCCAACCCTGGCAGTCTGCAGAACAGGAGGGCAGCAGGACAAAGGTGTCCACAGATGTGGCCCCAAGAATGTAAAGCACCCAGTGACTCTTTAGCGTTTTATATATGTTTACATATAAACAAATCTATCATGGTGTATTCATCACAGAACAGGACAGGGTTGCTTCTATCGGGTGGATGGTTATGATTTATGTAAGAAAATGTAACCATGGCCTCAGCAGGCAAGGGACATGCAGGTCTAAGGACAGCTGCCCCAGCTTCCTCCTACCCACTTCTTCAGGCCCTTCCTCACGGCTCCAACATGTTTTTCATAGCTCCAGGAAGAACGCAGGACATAGTTAACTTTTCCCAATGTATAGAGATGAGCCATATCCCAAATTGTGGGAGGCTCTAAGTGTGTATAATTTCTTAAATTGTGTGTGTGCTAGGCGGTGATGGTGCATGCCTTTAACCCCAGCACTCGGGAGGCAGAGGCCAGCTTGGTCTACAGAGCGAGTTCCAGGGCAGCCATGGCTACCCAGAGAAACCCTGTCTTGAAAATCAAAACCAAACCAAAACAAAAAGAGTGAATACTTCTCTTAGAGAGGATACATGTGGGGAGGCTCACTTCAGTTTCATGGAATATGTACATATTCACTGTCCTTTTTTCCTGGTTTTTCAAGACAGGGTTTCTCTGTGTAGCCCTGGCTGCCCTGGAACTCGCTCTGTAGACCAGGCTAGCCTGGAACTCACAGAGATCCACCTGCCTCTGCCTCCCGAGTGCTGGGGTTGAAGGCGTGCTCCACCACGGCCCACCTGCACCATCACTGAGCCATCTCTCCAGCCCCCTCCTGAGGGATAGAGGGTACACACATGTGCTATGGTGTGTGCATAAAGGTCAGAAGGGGACCTGCAGGAGTTGGTTCCTCTTTCTGCCATGTGGGTCCTGAAGGTTGAACTTAGGTCACCAGGCCCGGTGGCAAACATCCTTATCCACTGAGAAAAATCTCACTGGCATGGCAGGTATATTCCTAACTGGCCAAGACAATGAAAAACTGGGAGTTAGAGCTACAGCGAACTCAAAATTGATCATAAACAGTGCAAATATGAGAGGCATCTCTAAGCAGGTACACGCTGTGTGCGTGCACATAGAGCTTGTTGGACAAATCATTCCCTTCAGGGTGAGGCCCGAGGCCAGCGAGCAAGTTAGGGTCTGTTTTTGTTTCTCACTTATAATATTGTTTGAGACAGTCTTACCATGTAGATCAGGCCATGATCCTCCTGCCTCTGCCTTGTGGTTAATGCTAGGATTCTAAGAGTGGGCCACCTTACCAGACGGAGTCAGCTTTTTGATTTTCAGGGTCTTTCTACATAGCCCTAGCTATTCTGGAACTCAATTACGTAGACCACACTGGTCGCAAACTCAGAGAGCCACCTGCCTCTGCCTCCTGAGTGCTGGGATTAAAGGAGTGTGTCACCTCATCCAGCAGGGCCAGCTTTTATAAAACGGATTTGACAAGTTGCTGGCTTTGGTGGTTTCAACTTGGGAGAGTGAACTCCCAACCTTGCGATACTAGGCAATGGCTCCCACTGAGCTGTGATGGGTTTTAGGCTTCACAGTTTGAGATGGGGGGAGGGTGTCTTGGTATGTAGTCCAGGCTAGCCTCTAACTCCCAGCTCCTAAGTGATTCTTCTGCCTCAGCCTCCTGAGTGGCTAGGGCTATGGCTGTAAACCCGCATTTGTGATGGTTTGAAGACAGGTCTGCCACCCCATGACAGTGAAGCCCAACTGAGGATAGAGCTTCCTAACGAATAGGATATGGAAGGAGGGACAGAGTGACTTTCAAGACAGAAGGCAAACACCTCACCTTGGAAATCAGCTATAAGGAAACCGTGGGGAACGCTCCCTCTACGGCTTCAGAAGGTCACAACTGACTGCCAGCAGCAAACCCCGATCTGTGAGTCACTCAAAATGACTCCCACGTAGCCAGCACTTGCCAGTCATGAAAACTCTAGTAAAATTTTCAACAAGTTCAGAGCTACAGGGAGGGGCAACTGGGACAGTAGTTTTTACCTTAAAGTTATTTATAATTTACTTAGACAGGGCACCTCCTGTGTAGCTCAGGCTGGCCTTGTGGTTGAATATGAAATTCAGATCCTCCTCCTTTTACTTCCTGAGCGCTTGGGTTGTAGGTGCAAGCTACTGTGCCTAGTTTGTGTGGCACTGGGGGGCTGAAGCAATGTTCTGATGCTAACGAGCATTCTGCCAATTGAGCTGCACCCCAACCCCCCTGAGTTTTTATACAAAGAAAACGCATTTATTTTCCTCATCTGCAATTTACAGATAAAGTTCTGAGGGTCTCTGCTTCCACACAGCACGTCCATGCCCCAGAAGATGAGGTAGCTTAAAGTATTAAAGTATTTTATTAATATTTTTATATTCTATTATGCAAAACTATATCTGCTTAAAATGTCTCAGTCTCTTTAAAAGAACCCCGGTTGTAGCATGGCTTCTTCAGGACTTCATCTCCAGAGCAGTTCAATAACCAAGTCCTGTAACAGCCACAGAGGAGGGCTCCTCCAAAACAGGCTGAACCCAGCCTTTGACATCAGCTGGGCTCCCTAGGGTGCCCTGTACCTGGAGGTGGTTGCCCTGGGCCATCTCCAGCTGGGCGAGTGTTGAGATGCAGACCCTCTGGCTGGTGGGGTCATCCCGGAAGGTACACTTTGGACTTCACGGGCATTCCAGGGGCAGGCCCTGCAGAGTTCATTGAGTGAACCATCACGTAGGTGCACAGAGAGCTGGAGGAGCCACCAGGGCTCGGAGCACCCATCCTGAATGCCCAGGGGTCTTTGTCCATGCTGCAGGGCACACCAGCCTGCCCTCTGATGTCACTGGGGTCCCTGTGGGAAGAAGACACATGAGCTGGGGGGGTGTTGTTTCTGGGGTCACCCAGGGCCTTAGTGGACTCAGGCTAAACTACACTGCCCAAGGGCCATGACCTTCTGCTAGAAGTTAGAAGTGCCTGCCTACCCTGAGCCCTCCCACAGGAGTCATTTCTTCCTGGATCTCAGTTCTCTCATGCCCAGCTCCAGAGAAAAGAAATTTTCTGGAGATGTTTCAGAGTATGTGAGAACCACAGGAGCCCAGCTGCCTGGCCAGGACTTGGGGATGTCCCACATAGAAAAAAGATGTCACCTCCTCTCCTTCTGCAGCTGAGTCAACCACCTTCTATAACCCCAGTCCCCTTCAGCTCCCTCATTCCCCAAACACAAGCCAATTCTCTAGGCTGAGGAGACCTGGCCCTGCCCACCTGGTGGTGATCCTGTTCCCACCTCCAGCTACTAGACTCCTAGACTCGAGGCCTCTGTACCCAGTCTCTGCGACTTTGAAGGCTCTTCTTTTTCCCACCCTTTTTTCCTGCCCCCCCCTTCACTAATTCAAATAGAGGAGAAACAGGATACAGGGGACAAAAAAATTAGGAAAAGCCCCAAATCTAAATTCTTTCTTTTTGTGTCTTCTTTGACCCCAGCAATAAGCAAACTGCAATCAACTTCCCTAAAAACCAACAACCAGCGGCTCTGCCTAATGGGGCTCTAGCATTTGTACACCCTCTGAAAAGGTCCCAGAATTCCAAATGTCACACAATTGCAGTCAGCTGCTGTGGACCGTCTGAGCAGCCCCATATTCCCATACCTGTGATAAAAATGAAAACACATTCTTATACTAATTCTGTGCTTTTAAAGAAACCAAAATTCCAAAATTGTCACTACGGGTCTCTGCTCTCTTCACGACGCTTGGGTGACCCCTCTGTTCACATATGGCTCTTTCCTAAGGTGCTACCTCGGTCTCCTCCCCACAGGTGGACTGTCCTGAGCAGTTACTTCCAGCATTACCTAAGCAGAAACATCCCAGATCAATGCTTCCTTCTATTCCTCCCTATCAGAAACACTACAAGCAGCAGAAACCAAGCAATGATCTAGCTGCTGTGTAGGTAAACGACACAATGAATAAGTGCTAGGATTATTGGCATGTGACACCAGTCCAGCTTATGAAGTTGGGAATTGAACCCCAGCCTTCGTGTGAGCAAGGCAAGACCTCTGCCAGCTGAGCTATTATATGCCCGTTCTCTTCTTCTTTTGATGTTTTCTTTTGAGACAGTCTCTCTATGAAGCTCTGGCTATCCTGGAGCGAGATATGGAGGCCAGAGCGACTTCAAATTCAAATCCTCTTGCTTCCAGAGTGCTGGAATTAAAGGTGTGCACCTCAATGCACAGCTAGCGCTTTGTTTGTTTGCAATAATTGAGACAAATTCAGTAGCTTCACTTAGAAAGACAGCAAGCATCTGGAAGAATTTAGGATAGTATCACACATATTAGCAAAGCTGGCATAGAATATATACACCCACAGTAAGATCGGAGGGGCCAAGACCCAGGCAGTGTGGACCTTGCCTGAGGGGAACATGGCCCCTTTATTCCTGGGAAACCCAGGCTGGGGCTTTGAGGCTCTGGGCTATGAGCCTCCACCATGCTAGGCAGACCTGGGGAGCGACGGCCCTTTCTGAGGCCCCACCACAGGACTGAGAGCTCCCAGGAAGGCCTCAGCTGCCTCAGCATCATATCCTACTTAATCTGGCTCAGGGGGCCACCCTGCAAGTCAGCTCTAGTCGGTACAGCTTGGCATCCTCTATCTTGTGATGGCTCAATCCAGGTAGAGCACCATGTCACCCAGAGCTCTCCCACACCCCAGAAGAGTGTAGTGTAACAGTTTCCTCTGTGACTGAAACAGTCCATCCTGCAGGTTAGTGCCTTAAGAAGGAAAAACTCAAGGAACGTTCTGAAACTGACCAGAACTACCTGCCAGAGTAAACAATAGAAGCTTAGAGTCTTCCTCAGACAGAAGGAAGCTGAGCTGCAAAGACTCTGAGGAAAAAAAGTTTGAAAGACGATTTTAAGACCAGACCAGCTGCCTAGAAGCAGCAGAAAATCAGCTTAGCTGCCTGAAAGACTTAGATCAACTGAGTCACTAGAAAGGACTCTCTCCAACCCTCTGAAGCCCCTGCAGGCTGTGCAGTATGCTCCAGGTTTCCCAGCTCTAGTGAGCTGTCGCCACGTGGGCCTCGGTGATACAGCTATCTCGGAGTCCTATCTGTTCCTGTAAGTGACCTCTCACTTATATTTCTGAAAATAACCCAAAATAAAACTCATCAGTTCACCAAGTTGGACTTTGGTGGAATCTTTACTTTTGTCTGTTGCAAGAGCCTCATCTGGGGTGAGTGCTGTGTTCCCCAGGAAAAGTTTTGTCACAACACGGAATTGAATTCCCTAGTAGCTCTGTGTTGATCATGTACAGTAAAATCTCCAAGGTCTAACCAACAGCTGGAAGGAGGGACAGGTAGGCATGCGACCCCAGAAGCACCCTTCCTGGGCCTCACAGTTCAGCCAGTGAAGCTGCAGGAATCTTGTATAGGATGCCAGGTTGCCCCCAGAAACAGCATCTAACTTCTCCCATCCCATCTGACGATCTGGTCACAGCACTGTCATGCAGAGCCCTAGGGGAGGGAGCCCTTGGAAGCCAGCCTAGGCAACCTGACTAGACAAAAGGAAACGCATTAGCCAAAACAGTTTCAGCCAAAAGTCTCAACCAAACCACAAATTAGTTCCTGAGATCTATGTTCCTTGTAAGAACTGGCTGAACTAACGTGTGAGGAACTCTGGGACAAAGAAACCATTCAGACTACTCGACCTAAACAATCCACACCTAGGGTTATCCCAGAGGTGCTACCTAAGAAAGAAAGGCAGGCAGACACACATCTGTAGCCTAGCTACTCAGAAGGGTGAGACAAGAGGATCCCTTAAGCCTGGAAAATATTCATCAATCGATCAAGGATAAGACTCAAAGCCTTCAGACCTCCAGCAGGGCCAGTCAGCAAGCAGAAAGCCTGAACGCAGAGCCACTTTAAAACATGATATGACACAGGAAAATGGGTATTTATTTGAAAGCATCAGACTTGATACAACGAAGGTGACACAGAACCATATAGGCGACCACCTCCATGCCTCAGTTTCCTCTCCTACACAACGATCGAAGCAATGATGGCCAATATTCACTGAACTCTCAATTGAGCCCAGGGCAGAGTCACAGACCTCTACTTGGGTCATCTAAACAGCGTAGGATACAAGCACCTCTTGAGTTCTGCAGGGAAAACAAGGCAGCTGCTGTGTGGGGCAGCTGAGACCCCACAGGAAAGCCAAGAGTGCTAAGCAGAGGCTCTGCTGCCTCAGGTGAGCTAGTGGGACAAAAGGCAGCAGCAAGCCAGCCCAGAATGCAGATGAGCCCAAGCTCAAAGAACATCAGAAGTGCAGCCATGCATAGCTCCCGCTGCCGCCACCAAATAAGCCACCAGAGCCAAAGACAGTAAAGAGATGAGGAGGGCAGAGGGCAACCCTCCAGACATTTTGTGTACTTGTGAAATTTTCTTTCTGGGCATGGCGCCAAATGCCTATAATCCCTGAACTTGGGAGGTAGAAAGCGATGAATCCAGAGTTCAAGTTCATCATCATCCACATAGTGAGTTGGTAGGTAGCTTAAGCTGCATGAGTAAAAACTATCTTTTTTTTCTCAAAAAAGAACATGAGTTCACTATGAAACTAACAGAAAGAAGAATTAAAGAACACATTGTGGTTCCTCCACAAGACACCAAAGTCACCCTTTTGGTACTCCCCCACATCACCACAGCTCCAGGAGGACCACTTTGAACTCTGAGTCCGTAGGTCAAAACCCCCTCATGCCCTGATGACTGAGGGACTTGATGTCTGCACCAAGACCACAGGCCTGTCCCTGGTAGTCTATGACTCTGGTGAAGCTGTTCTTAACTGTTCCGATGCTACAACCCTTTAATACAGTGCCTCACATTGTTGCTACTTCATAACTGTAACTTTGCTACTGTTATGAATCATAATGTAAACATGTTTTCTGATGGTGTTAGGTGACCCCCGTGAGAGGGTCATTCCACCGCCAAAGGCATCACAACCCACAGGCTGAGAGTGAGAAACATCCCCCATAGGCGCAGGTATTTGCATACTTGTGTCCAGTTGGTGGCGCTGTTTGGAGGTGATGGGCCCTCTGGAGGTGCAGCCTTGCTAAAGGAAGCACATGACTGGGGTGGGCTTTGACAGCTTAAAGCCCCTTTTCCTGTTTGCCCTCTGCTTGCTCTGTGTAGGGGAGAAGTGATCTCTCAGCTTCTTATTCTGGCTGCCTCTGGCATCAAGACAGACTCTGTCTTCTGGAAGCTGCTTTCGATCACGGTGTTTTTAATCACACCAACAGAAAGTAACTGAAACAGTTCTGCACAGAAGACCCACAGTATGAATTCATAGCTCAGTGTGGAGACACCAAAGAGACAATGGGTTTGTACTGGTTGGTTTGTTTTGTTTTGTCCTGTTTCTCAAGACAGGGTTTCTCTGTGTAGCCCTGGCTTATTCTGGAACTCACTTTGTACTCTGTAGACCAGGCTGGCCTCGAACACAGATACCTGCCTACCTTAGCCTCCCAAGTGCTGGGATTAAAGGTGTGAGCCATCATGCTGGACTTGCTGTGGCTAGTTTAATGTCAGCTTGACATAAGCTAGAGTTATCTGAAAGGAATGAACCTTAATGAGAAAAGTCCTCTATAAGACCCAGCTGTAGGGCACTTTCTTAATTAGTAATTGATGTGGGAGACCCTAGCCCATTGTGGGTGGGTGCCAGCCCTTGGCTGGTGGTTCTGGGTTCTATAAGAAAGCAGGCTGAGCAAGCCACGAGGAGCAAGCCAGTAAGAAGACCATGGCCTCTGCATCAACACCTGCCTCCAGGTTCCTTCCCTGTTGGAGTTCCTGTCCTGACTTTCTTCAATGATGGACAGCAATGTGGAAGTGTAAACCAAATGAACCCTTTTCCCACAAGGTACTACATGATGTCTCTCTACAGTAATAGGAACTCTACCTCCCATCAAGGTAGCCAGATTCTAGTCAGGAAAGCCATGTTCCAGCCTGAGAATATGACACCATTGACAGTGCTCACCCCACATGCAAAGCCCTGAATTCAATCTCTAGCATTGCACAGACCAAGTCTGCCCACTTGTAGTCTCAGTACTTGGAAGGTGGAGGTGGACAAACCAGGAATTCAAGGTCATGCTTGCTACGTGGCAAGCCTGGGCTACATGAGACATTATTAGAGACAAAGACAGACAGACAGACACATACACACAAGGAAGGATGTGATTTTACTAGTTCAGTGAACAAATAAAGTGCATCGAGAGAGAACGAGCCACAGCTGCTGCCAACCTGGCACTAGGAGAAAGAGAGAGTGAGGGGATGTGGAGCCCCAGCATGGAGAGGGAAAAGGGTGAGCAACTCTAGAGAGCAGACAGCACAGTGGGAAGGCCCAGGGTCTCTGCCAGCTCTCGAATCCCAGTGCATTTAAACTCAAGCTGATGTAGATAAGTGGGAGGGTTTTGAATGTGAGTCAGGAAAGAGCGCTGGCCAGCTCTGGGAGTTGGGAGTTGAGGCACCAGAGAGGTAGGAACACCAGGGTCCCCAGAATGTGGGGTGGCCAGTGTCCTAGGACCTGGCAGACCCTGGTCTGGGGAGAGGGTCCCTGGGCCTCTATACCCCTAGCACACCCGCAACCTATGGCCTGGGTAACGCACGTGGCAAAGCTGTGGTTGTCGTGGGCCTGGCTGTGCTGAATCCCTGGCTTGGCGACACCGGTGACACCAGCGCCACCACTGCCAGTGCCGGCGTTGCTGCTGTTGTTGTGGTTGTGTCCCTTGAGGCCCAGGTAGGCGGCCTGTACAGTCTCCAGGTCTTCACCTCTCAGCTGGTGCCACAGCTGTGCCGCCCTGGAGGAGAGAGTTCAGGGTAAGGGGCCCTGACGGACCGACCACTCACCTCCCAACAGCCGTGGGTGGCGGTGGCCCAGTGACCAGCAGCCCGGGAGACTCTTTAGGCGTGAGAGTGGGACCCTGCGCTGCTCAGACGCTAACAGCCAGGGACAGGGGAACGCATGTGGGTGCCAGTGAAAAACAACTTAGCAAACAAGACTCGGAAAGTCCTAACGTGAGGCAGCGAGCGACGGCTGAACACCGCACGCAGTCAGTGCCACAGAACCAATGGCACTCCTTTAAAAAAAAAAAAAAAGAGTTTATTTATTCACTCATTTATTTTTGTAGTGCTGAACAGCAAATACAGGGCTTTGATCTTTTTTTAAAATCACACTTTCGTTTTGCATGTGCAGTGGGAGACACATGCACCTCGGGGCACACGTGGAAGTCAAAAGACAACCCCGAGGCGGCGAGTTCTCTCCTCCCACCGTGTAGGTTCCAGGAATAGAACTCAGGTCGTCAGACAAGACAGCAGGACCTCTTACTCACTGAGCTGCCTCACCTGCCCAAGAGCACCATTAACAGGGAGTAACATGCTGAGTCTGTGTATGTTTTAACACCACAAAACAATGTGACCCAGGACTCAGTTACTGCCAGGTGTGGTGGTGCATGCTGTGATCCTAGACCCACAGCCCTGGAGCAGTGATGCCCACCTGATGTGTGGGGACATCCACCTGTGGCTGTCCCAAGTGCCGCTAACGAAACAGACCGTCACACGTGTGCGCAGGCTCACTGAGTGTGCCGTGTATGAGGACGGGGAAATGGCTCAGCGGGGAGAAGCATCTGCTGTGCAACGTGAGGACATATATTTCTAGAACCCATGTAAAAAGCTGGGTATGGAACATGTGTGTCTGTAAACCCAGCGCTCCAACAGGGAGACAGGAGAATCCCTGACAGACACCCAAGTTTTCCTGTGACTTCCATATGCATGCACCCACATTCATACATGACCAACTGTATACACAAAAACCACACACACACACACACACACACACAAGTCCTGTGCCTTCACCTGTGGACCTGTGAAACCCTCAGACACTGCCCCAGGGTAGATGACAGGTGTGGTAAGCAACCACATGGCTAGGCCCACCATCCGGAAGGATGCCAGGCCACTGTACCTGTCGGCACGCCGCTGCTCGCTCTTCTTCATGCACTTGAGGAGGCAGCAGGTGAGGAAGGCCATGGACATGAGCAGGATGATGGCACAGCTCACAATGGAGGCAATGACCGCCACCTTGAAGCCAAAGGTCTCGTGTGGTGGCACAGCTGGAAGAAAAAAACCAGCAGCTCCTGGCACAGCTGACCCTGACCTGCTAGGCTAAGGGTTGTTAGGGTGGGGCTCACAGTAGGTTCCCCATTTTGCAGGGAGGTGTTCAGGCTCTGGGGAGTAAGGCAAAGACTGGGAAAGAATACATTTCAAGGGGTTTATCAGGAAAGACGTTCTCAAGCAGGAGGCATTTCAGCTGGCTTTGGTGGGCTGTGCAGGAGTTCACCAACAGTAAACTGGGTAAGTTCTGACAAGGAACACAGCGCAGAGGTCCCCGCCCTCTGCAGCCTGGACTGCAGAAGGCACCAGCAGAGGCACTGTCAGCTTTCACAAAGCCCACGCAGGCAAAATGCATCAGGGGGCCTTCAGAGCTCACTTCCCTGAAAGGGGCAAAAAATAATGGTAATGGCACAGGGTCAGCAGTGTGACCTCAGCCATCGCTGAGAACACGTTTCATTAGATTCTCGGGAATATTCTTGAAAAAGACCCTGAGATTATAATTTGAGCAAACGTATATGCATAACATACCCACAGCAGGCATTGCTCAGGTCCCGAGTCCATTCTCGGGTCCCTGGCTGCATACTAACCATCTAGAGTTTAAACTCCAGCTCCCAGAGACAGGACATAATCTGGGTTCTCAGCCTCTCAGAACCTAGTCCTTACAGACACCCTCATCTCAAGAAATTGAGCCAACACAAGGATGGTAAAGGCTCCGGGAAGTCCTGCAGCATATATAAGCACCAAACTGTTTTGACTCTGTGCACTAATGTAACATATCATCCTTCACTTAGGAAAAGGCTGCATGAGGCCCCGGACAGTCGAGACAGGCCCTCCACATACAACCAGACAACTAGAATATGAGTCTTCCTCCCTGAGACAGGGGAGCCAGGGCTGGCACAATCCTGGCCCTCTGCTCTCCCAGCTCCTAGGATTCTTGGCACCTAGAACATCCTTCAGGGTCTTTTGAGGCATTCATGAAGGAAGGGAGGGTGGGTCAGGAGGTGGACAGCTTTGTTTCTCCTCTTCACAGATGACAGTGTGCCAGCTCAGATGGTACTAGCGACCAGTTAGGTGCTGGGGCAGCAGCAGGGGTTGAAGCCAGCACTGCGTCTGTACTTAGATGTGATAGTGGCCAAAAGTAGGAAGAGAACCCTCAACGTGGGCTATCCTATGACTGGACCAACTACCTTCACTGTGACAGTATTTGGGGTCCCTATGTCCCACCCCACCAGCAGCTGAGCTGGAGCAGCTCAGGAAGTGGGGGGCTTACCTTTGCACACAGGACTTCCTGAAGACCAATCAGCAATGCTTCCATTCCAGGAGCAAGTGAGGAGGCCAGACCCCACCATCTGGTGCCCCGAGGGGCAGTGAAACATGAGTACAGTCCCCAACGACGTGCCATCTCCACGGACAACTTGCAAGGTGCCTCGAGGGGGCGGGTGGAGCTGAGAACAGGTGCCTAGAGGAAAGGGGTCTGTGAGGCTGCGGTCAGCAGAGGGCAGAGGGGCACTGCCACCCTGGGAGGCCCTCCAGAGCTGCTGGGCTGACCTTAAGTACATCTACAGGGTCTGAGGATTGTGGCAAGACAAATGAAAATATACATGATTAGCTAAGCCCTGCTGCCCCATCCAAAGACAGAAGAGAGGGAGTGGGGGAGGGAAGGAAAAGGAGAGAGACATGAAGAGTGTTGCCTTTGCTAGCTCCTAATAACTGAAAGAGAAACACTAACTCAGATGAACGAAAGTAGGAAAAGGTATTTAGAAAGTAAACAAAACCCCAGCTTCTTTGATTTGCAAAGAGATGTTACCAGCGAGAGTTCAACATACAGTTCTCTTTTAAAACTGAACTAATGTATAAGTGAGGAATACAAGAGATACAATGGCCAGCAGCTACAAAAACATGAGGACCACACAGCAAGCCCAGACACCTGAGTGACAGCTAAGCTCTCACTCAGCAAGGTAGCTAAGATTTACTTTATTTCTTAAACTATGTGTACATGCCTGTGTGTCTCTGTGTATGCTGACTCCCTAGAACTAGGCTGCAGGCTGTTGGAATCCCCTGACGTGGGTTCTGGGAACCAAGCTCCGGTACTCTATAAGAGTAGCAAGAGAGCCTTTGTTGTTGGGATTAATTGCTGCCCCTGCCTCCTAACAAAAGGCCCAGCTGCAAGTGCTGTTAACCCCAAGGTGGCTAAGATTGAATGAATGAATGAATGAATGAATGAATGAATGAATGAATAAATGAGATGGGGTTAGCCCTCTATGGCACAGCACTAACATACCAAGGCCCTGGGTTCCATCCTAACACGATAGAACACCATCTACCAATAATGATAAAGAAAACCAGTATCCCTTGGGGGTAGAAAGTGACTCCCCAGGTTTCAGTCATGGCCAAGCCTTCTTGGATGAGGTCTGGTGAGTGTGAGGGCCTACCCATGATGCCATCTCCATTCCTGTAGCAGGATATTCACCTCAGAGCCTGGTGAAACGGCAAGAATGTGGAAAGCACTCACATCTCCAGCAATAAGCAGATTCATCCATCAAAGTACAAAAAGAAAAAGAAAAACATGTACCAGCACAGCCCCAAATCGTAACAGAATGCTCTGAAGCAGAGACAGTGATGTTGGCCTTAAATGGGGCTACAGAAGGGCCAGGGAGATGCTGGCTCGGTAAATACTTGTCATGAAGGCATGAGGACCTGTAACCCTAGGCTGCCCTCACTGTAACCCTAGGCTAGGTCTCAGTGGCTTTGGGTCACTAGCTGACAGAGGCACTGCCATAATTTGAACTCTTTTTTTTTTTGACCACGGGTTTCTCTGTATAGCCTTGGCTGTCCTGGACTCGCTTTGTAGACCAGGCTGGCCTTGAACTCTTGAGATCTGCCTGCCCCCTGCCCCCTGGGTGCTGGGATTAAAGGTGTGTGCCACTCCCCCCCCCCACCTCTGGCCATAATTTGAATTCTTCATTCCAGAGTCTCATCTCCATGAAGCATCAGCTGTTGCCACAAACACCAGGGCAGGACTGAAAGAAGGGGACCCCACAGACCAACCAGCATCTACTCCCCCTCTTCCTTTGCAGTACCCTGGAATGTGGAGATACACTGTCCCCCCAGCCAGGGAAGTGGACATGGGATTTTGGAGCTGTGGTAGACGAGGCTAAGCAGACACTGGCCAGCCTCGGGGCTCTTCCCCAGGATGCCAGGCAGCCAGCACTTCCTAGTACTCAATTTAGAGTGACAACTTCTGCATTCTTTCGCAGCTGAGCTAGCAGAGTGGAGGCCCACCCTCACCACCTGCTACCAGCTTGATAGCATCCAGACAGGGAGGAGGCAGGAGGCAGAGGGGTGGCTGTACCCGGACTGGTCCACCAGCACAGTGCCGTACTATACTACGTCTTCATCACAAAAGGTCCCGGCTGATGGGGGAGGCCAGCAGCGGAAGTGTGTGCCACGGAGAATGGCTGACGGACTGTGCACCCAAGCTGGGCCAGCCCCGGCTGAAGAACCAGGAAGCCTAGGTTGAGAGTTGCCGGTATCACCTGGGGGACTTCTTACCCTGGGCTTGTGTCATCACCTGCAAATGGAGCACCAGGCAGCGCCTCGAGATGACTGGATGAAAGTCTGTGGCCCGTCAAGGAAACCAGCCCCATCCACTTCCCCTAAACATGTCTTAGCTGCAGAGCGGGTGGGGCACTGCGATGTCCCCACTTGGTTCGCACTATGTCTGTCAACAACCACATCCGGTGCTTTTGGGGAGGGTTCTGCTTGGAGGGGGTGCTGATCCTCAGCTGGCGACTGCGGGCCGACGTACACCTCACAACCAGCCAGTCACGAATCTCTACAGGCAGATTTCCTGCGCTGTCATCCAGACTCATGACTGCAGGGGACGAAGGGTGAAGTCACCCACACCAGCAAGGAGAGAGGACCAGGCAGCCCTGCCACACCGGCTATCAGAAGCCCAGCGGCTTTTTGTCAAATTAAAGAGCTAGGTTAAAGCACAGACCACTTCTAGTACAAGCCCACCAAGAGGGATGGCAGCCCCAGAGGAAAAGATGGGGAAGAAGGCAGACAGAGACTCGGCATGGAGGGGCTTCAAAGGCAGTCCAGGTCCCAAAAGCGGCCTTCCTAGCCAGCCTCTAGAGGACTCACGGGTGTAGAGCTCTGGCATCCTAACTACTGTTCTTCCACTAAAAGCTAAACAGAGGAGTTTGAGCAAAGGACAGAGGTGGACAGTGGGTATGAGCCCTTCCTCCTTGTGTTACTCAAGTAGCCTTCTGGCCAGGGAGGCCTAACTTTCTTTACCCGAGGAGCTGAAGGAAGCACAGAGAAAGTGGCCCTGGCAGTGGGTGTCTTCTCAGCACAAGCGCCCAGACTGGAGCAGGGATAAACACATGAGCTCCTGTATCTGAACCAGGAGCAAGCTTCAGCCCACATTTCACAGACCTCCGACTTCCCCATCTGCAAAATGGGTCACAGGGAGGGTGGGGTTGCACGAAGAGCCAGAGACACTGAGGGAGGGCTGGCTCACAGAGTTAGTGCCCAGGCAGACCTTGAGGCACTGTCTCCTGTAGTCCAGGCTGCCTTGAACCAACTCCTAATCCTCCTGTCTCCACCTTCCCAGTGAGAGGATTACAGGTGCATGCCCACCACACTAGGTTGATTCCATGCTGGAATTCCAGGTTCCATCCTGGGATGGAACCCAGGGCATCGTGCACGCTAGACAAGCATTCCACCAAATGAACTATATCCCTCAGGTTGGACTTTAAGCCAAGGACTTTAAACACTCCAGGCCATACTGGTACTACTTTATGCATGCATGTGCGCACGCACACGCACACGCACACGCGCGCGCACACACACACACACACACACACACACTCACTCTATTCTCCACACCACAGGGGACCTCCATCCCCAGATCCCACCAGGATCTCTTTCGACCACCCCTCTGGGATGAACACATCTTCCAGGTGAGGAGGCTGAGGCTCACAGGCAAACACCAGGGTAGACACACAGGCTCCCTCAGCCTCAGCTGGTCTTTCAACGAATGCACAGAAAGCCCTGGACAGGCAGAGATATGAGACTCCTTCAAGAGACACTTTAGCTATTGCCAAGAGCCAGGCCAGGCATGGTGGCACACACCTTTAAATCCAGCATTTTGGAGGCAGAGGCTGGTAGATCTCTGAGTTGGGAGGCCAGCCTGGACTACAGAGTGAGTTCTAAGATGGCCAGGGCTACACAGAGAACCCCTGTCTTGAAAAACAAACAAACAAACAAGAAGGTACTTACTCAGAGAGAGAGACACTGCCTCCAACTCAACCTGGAGACCCACAGCTAATCCTCTTCGACCAACCCTCAGACTCTCCCCGTCCCTGGCACCTAAGAATCAAGGCCCACCTGTCCCTCCACTGCTCAAAACCTCCCTCTAGACCCAGACACACTCTCCTTCCTGAGCTTGAAGACACCCCATGTTCCCAGGAAGGCACTCGGCTAAGCTGACGGCGGCTGGCTTCCAGCCCTCTCCACACACTGCCTCTGGACACTGGACCCTGCATGTCCCCAAGTCCTTCACTGCAGCCATGCATGGGGCCCCTCACCCTCTGGGCACAGTTACAGTATAGCTTTTACTTCAGCAACCCCCCAGGGGGCACTTTTTGGTTCCAAGTGGAAACAGATCTTTAAGAGAGGGAAAAGCAACAGAAAAGAAAAATCGAATGGGATTAATTTTAACACAAAATCACACATGATCCAGCCCGGTCCTCTAGGCTTAGGGGATAGAGAAGAGGGACAGAGAAGCACAGCAAGGCAACTCTCCCGGCCCAGAAGGGTCTGCAGCTGGTCCCACCTGACATCTCAACCCAGGCCACCTGCCGTAGCTGCGTTCCCAGGTCCTCCTTCCACCCTGAGGTGCACATAGCTGGACCTGGGAGGGGCCCTGTCCTCCTCCCCCAGACCTTGAGGCCAGCCAGATGCCTGGGAAAGAGCCTTGTTTGTTAAACTTTTATCTGGAACCTTGGACCACAGGCGGGGGCCGGCATCCTCTGTCCTTCCTGGGGCCCGTGGGCCCCTCACCCTGACCTTTTTAATAAGTTCCCTTTTATTCGGGCAGAGGCCATGTGAGTACAGGAAAAGGAGGGCAGGCCTCTGGGCTCAGCCTCACCAGGACTTTGGTAGCCAGGCTTGTGTTCCTACCTGGCTGACTGAGTCCTTACGTAATTTTGCTCTGGGTCTGCATCCCTCCAAATGGCCAATGTGAAAGGTGGGGGTGGTGGCATTTCAAACCTCTCAGAATGGTTGACTTACGCATACACAGGCACTCTACCAGCGGGGTTCCCTCAGACACCGGTAGTCAGGACCACATTCGGCCCTAATTCTGCGCATGTAAGACCCTTCCGGAAGCCACCTGTCCTCCCTGAGCCCATCTTCCCATGCCCCTGAAGTCAAGGGCCAAGTAAGCTGGGCTCCATATTGTAGACTGGGTGGTGTTCCCCTGCCATGGCAGAACAGAGATTATTCTAGCCAAGGAACATGGATCCCCGAATCTTCTGGGGGTTTATATGGCAAGGGGAGGGGAGTGTCTTGCTGATCCACACTGACTATCACCGGGCCTCGGGTTTCTCCTCTGTAATATGGGCACAGCAGGCTGCAAGGATGAAGCCGGGACCACACTCAAAAGGCCCACCTGCACCGAGCCAGTTTTTTGCACTTTTCAAGGCCCTTTCCCGGGTTAGCAGGAGGTGGCTTAGAGCCACTGGAACCCAGTGTTCCTGAAAAACCTCCTGGACTAGGGAGCTGCCCTGGGAGCAGAGCCAAAGCCTCTAGCCAGTCTAGATAAGAGACCCTGGCTGAGGGGGGTGGGGGATGATGACAGCACCCTTCGTCCTACCCTGAGTCAGCGCTTCCTGCCCACAGACCTCCCGAGCACCTCTGAGCTACTCCCTAACGGGCCCATTCTGCAGACCATACATCCCAATTACTATTTTACATCCCAATTACTGTCCCCCCCCC